AACTTTACCGACACAAGTCATTTCTTAAATAAAACTGGTTTATCTTTCTGAATACAACTTTGCAATACACAGTCCCGCTATAACAAACGCTATAAATCACAACGAACGTCTCACGTGCTCAACTCAACAATACTCTGTCCGCAGTTCAATTACACATTGTTGCCGTCACGTTGTGACCATCTTATATATACAAGACTACTGCATATCTAGTAAACGCTAGAGCATTCATGAAGGAACAGGATATTTCTAGAAGTCAATGACGTGTTACAGGAACAGGATATTTCTAGAAGTCAATGACGTGTTACTAGGGTCACGTGACTTCCGCTGTCGTAACACTACTATATTGTTTAGTTGGGGGCACTTTTCCAGACCGCAACATCGTCCGCGAATTGGGCTGAAAATTCCGAATTTATGTCTTTCAGGGGCATATTGCTTACATACATGATGAATAGAATAGGGCTAACTACCCCTCCTTGAGGAACGCCTGCCTCAAGAGTAAAAGACGCGTTAGGTCCATTTCTGTCATACAGAACCTAAGACCATCGTGCGAGACAGTGTCGAATGAGCCCTAATAATAGCAGTTGTTAACAGATCCAAAACAAATCTTTCTGTGTAACATGTGTGAATGTTTTAATTATGGCATTTTAAAATAGATGTAGAGACTGTAACATTTGTGAGAGATATAACTAGCATTTATAAATTACTGCACAAAATGTAACATATGAAGATGTTTTAATTACTGAACAGTTGGAAGCAGATACAGATGTTTAACGTTTGCAGGATATATAAACAACAGCTGAAAACAGCTTGGCCAAGTTTCCCATCATTTGCCAATTTACAAAGTTCTTTTTCATTTTTGTTGTCGTCATCCTTTGCAGATTCTCCGATAGTATGGACACATCGTGACATGTATGTATATAACTGTTTATTAAAGCTACAAACTTAAAGTTTTAATTAGTGAAATCTTGTCTCTTAACGTTAATTGTTTTTCATTATTGCGTGTGTTTTTGTTGTTGTTGTTGGCAGTTCGAGTTAATTGCGAGTATGTTGGTTTTCTGTGGATTTTCTTAAGACTCAAAATGTGTAGCGTTTCTTACGTTCATCAGTCGAGCCCGGCATGGCCAGGTGGATAAGACGCTCGACTCACAATCTGAGGGTCGCGGGTTCGAATCCGCATCCCACCAAACATGCTCGCCCTTTCAGCCGTGGGGGCGTTATAATGTGACGGTCAATCCCTACTCTTGGTAAAAGAGTAGCCCAAGAGTTGGCGGTGGGTGGTGATGACTAGCTGCCTTCCCTCTAGTCTTACACTGCTAAATTAGGGATGGCTAGCGCAGATAGCCCTCGTGTAGCTTTGCGCGAAATTCCAAAAAAACAAACAAATCATCAGTCGAAATTATTTTCCAATTAATAAAAAAAAATCAAAGGTTTACAAGATGAAATGAGTTCTTTTTATTAACACAAAATCACTACAAGAAGTACATATCGTATCAGCTGTTGAACTTTTACATAAACCGTGAATAACAACTGTGAGAATTACAAAGCAGCCGCTATAACTATAGATAGATGTCGACCATTGATCAAACACAATACGTACCGAGTACAGGCAAGCTGTGAAAAGTTAGGTTTGAAAAACTCTGAAATAATCAAGCATAATTTGTCTCTGTGAAAAATCATTATATCCATCGGAACAAAATCAACAAATTATTGTTACTACATAGTTATATAGCGCCGATTCAGAATGGAAATAATTTTAAAAATTAATTTATAAATCATAATAAATTTCTTTTATTTTGTTTCATGTTTTCAACAATCGTGTCAGAGTTATTAGGTTAAAAGAGATGATGAATCAAAAATGTCTTGCACCTTTAAACTTAAAATACTCGAGAGTGCAAAATAATACAAACCAACGATGAAACTTTGTAGAATACAAACCAGCATTTTTTAATTTATTGCGTAGGTCAGTGTAAAATTTGGGCAATAAAAATTTTGTAGATTCTGAATTGAATTGATGATGATAATCTTACAGTCCACACGAAATAATAGGATGGTCGGGACTATATTTCTTTCCTTAAAGTTTATGGGAAAAATACGTGTTTTAAACAGTTAAAACATGCACAGCAGAAGCTACAACGTCTTACTATAGGGGTTATCTATGGTACTACTTAAATATTTTGAAAGTACAACCCTACCTTAAGAACAATCGCACAATAGAAAAATTAAAAAAAACCCTCAAGATTAGCAGTTTTATCTCGTGTATTTTGATCTTTGTCAACTTTTCTTGTAAACAACGAGATACTTAAAAGGAAATCATATTTCTTCGTATTTACACACCGCTGGTTTTAAAAAGTTGGGTAAAACTTATTAGGCTAACACTGAAATTAAACGCGACTTGTCATTAACAAATGATGAAAATATTGCAATAAATGTTTGTTGACATTTCTAATCTGTTATTTTGACTATAAAATTTATTTAGTACTGGCCTCGTGTCATGAGAAGTCAGGCTTAAATGTTATTGCAAGTTTAATAACAAACACGTCATAACCTAAAAAAAATGTGTTTTAAGGTTAGGCCTACTCTTTACCTATAACTTAAGAGCCCAATAAATCTGTCTTCAGTTAAATATGCCTAATATTGTATTTTTATATTTGTGGAAAAGCTCTTGCGCTGTTCAAATATTTTCATTTTTTTTTACCATTGCTTTAACGCAATATTCCTGAAGACTATATTAGTTTTTTGTTTGTTTTTTCTCATGTGTTTTGTCGGTGAAGATGTGGTTAGTTTTGGACATCGTACATATGTAGTTTGGGGTATGATTTTCTATTCAAAAGACTGTTTTGTATAACCTTACAGATTAAGATGAATCTTTTTGAATCGATGCCAGAAAAAGCTTTTGACGCAGTTAGCCCAGCAACATCTAGGGTGAATATGAAATGCTTCATTAAAAAAAAACAGGACAATATATTTAGTATTGGCAACAACATCCAAAATTTATATTTTCAATTTCATTGTAAAGCACTTAGACAAGATCTCAAAGTTATCTGACAGAGCTGAATAAAAACTAAACTTATTCCGATAACCACAATAAGTTAATACGACGAATAATGACTTTTTTGTAATATTACGAAATTAATTACAGGTAAATTCCCGATATTCACATGAATTTATCAGCTAGAAGTTATAATTTTGTTATAAATTTTTGGACTATCTATAGTCTTCAAGAAATTCATATTATCGTAGAACTTTTGAATTCAAAACCACACGGTTCGAGAAATATCTGCGGTATGTCTGCGGATTTACAACGCTAAAAACCGGGTTTCGATACCCGTGGTGGGCAGAGCTCATTGTGTAGCTTCGTGCTTAACTTCAAAACAACAATTCTAACAAAATTTCATATTGTATGTTAAGATTTCATTCGTTTAGTTTCTTTAGTAAAGTTTAGCATGTTGAAAGAGCTGATGTATGATTAATCTTTTATTTATTTCGTTGTCAGATGGCGTTTCTTTGCTCCATGGCATTCTTTTATTCCAGATGAGAAAGAATCGTATATATACCTCACATTTTTGAGTGAAATTTTCTTATATAATATAAATTGAAATTTTACGGTTTTGTTTTTTGTAAATCTTACATTTTTAACTGAAAAGAACAGTTTTATTTGCCAACTATCAACGCTACATTTATCTTGTTTTAAAATCACTAGCATAAAAACCACCATTGTTTAACACACCATAGTCTAGGTTGTAGTATAACAAGTGATTTGCTCAAACTATTAATTCTCATCTAATAGGGCACTCTATGTTCTCTTTCAAAGCAATTTACAGGGACCACGAAAATGCTCAAGATTATTCTTTGGAATATAGGGACCTGATTTCGAGCCTTTGTTCCGATACTGCTTTTTGGTAGAAAAACTTATTAGCAATATTTTTACTGATGACCTCCAGATTGAAAACAAGATACAAGTAATTACCGGAGAAAGAAAATTGTTTTTCGGTGTTAATTCAAAATAGAATTATTCAGTGGTATAAACCCAAATCCCGTAGTTTCTACATTGTTGTTTAACATACAGAATTAGTCAGTGGTATAAATCCAAATCCCGTTGTTCTGACGTTGTTGACTAACATGCATAATTTGTCAGATGTAAAACTAAACATACCATTGTTTGATACCGTTGCTTAATCTGCAGAATTACTTAAAGATAAAATAACACTGTTTTGACATTGTTGATTCACACACACACACAAAAACAACAGTGGTAAAACTGAAACCTGATTGTTTTAATAATGTGAGAAAGTTATATTTTTCACCATGGTTTCACAAATACGTTATATGCAGAAGATTAATGACGTCATACAAGCTTATTCATCCATTACGCAGTCGTCTCAAGTAATGTAGGTGACAGGATGGTTTAAAATGACAAGTTTATCTTAAATGTACAGCTGGAATGCTGATAGAAGGAAATGAAAACAAAATCACGATATAACATTAAAATATCACAAAAGAACAAACGTTATAGTAGCTTTCAAAATTGGTTTTACTGGAATCTTTGTTGATTTTCATGTAATCTACGATTTGAACACAAAAAAAAATAATAATTTTAGCAATCACTTTCCACAAAAAGCGCTAAGCTTATTCTTTAACGAGTAATGAAATAAAATGTTGATATATTTTCAAGATAGAAAGACGTACACTTTCAACACGATCACTCGAGAAACAACTTTTCCTTTATAAAAATGTTAAATAAATGTGCCTGGTTTCATTATTCTGGCATTTAATCTTTTTTTTCAATGCCAGGTTTCATTATTATTCCAAAAATATCAGTTCAATGATTCTCCGTCAAACTTTCAAGGTGCCTTGTCCCAAATCTGAAAATACATTCTATTTACACGAGGCTTATAAAACTCCAGAATAACACCAAACAAAATGTTCATAATACTCACTGCCAAAATAAGGGTGTCAACATCTACCCTTCAATAAACAATACATATCAATGACGAAAACACTTACTTTATCACAATAGCTTTACAAGTCTTTCTTTTCTGTTTTAAAGAACCCAATCTTGACGTTTTCTGACTAAGCATATATCTAGACAGGAGTGAGTAATCAAGCCATAAAAGAAATCAACACTCAAGTAAGTTCAAAGTAATGAAGGGCCAGTAAAGACTTGCGGGATATTTCAAGATCAATTAATATTGATTAAATCATTAATGTTCTTAGATTTTATGCAATTAACAAGGTGAAATTATTTTATGAAATTCCAATTTTTGAATAATAATTATATCCTTTCAATTTTATGTGTAAATTTAAGAATAGTAGTGGCAACAACAAAGCTATGAATAGATTCCAAGTACATTTACATTTAAGACAAGATTTACCATTCATAGTTTCATTTTAGTTAATTAGCAAGATAATTCACTCCTTGAAAGAAAGACGTTACTAGTTTAACAAGTGTATTATTTGCTGTCTGACCCTGGCACTTCAGAGTGGATTCCACTTCCTGTTCCTGACTTCGATGACAGATCTTCAGTTAGTCCTACTGTACCTGTGAATTAATCATTATACAAAATCTCAATGATATATAATCTAAAAAAAATCATTGGACTACAAAGAAACAAATAAAATACAGTTATCATTAACTTCTGATCAAAGCAAGCGAACAGCATATATCAGAACTGGAAAATAACTCGCTAATCAATATGGTTAATCAAACATACTGTTCTAACTAGGTGTATGTAAAGTCATAAGACAAATACGTTATAACGATTAGAATACATCAATTGTTAGCGATGTTTTCGGCCGCAATCCCATTAATATTCCATGAGGTTCGGTTAGCTTCGGAGATTTGGGTTAGTCCTAAAATTATATTCACATTTAATGTATCACAATGGTTAAAAGATAAATTAAGTGAGGAAACTGAAGATGATGCATTTTGTTTTAAGAAACAATATGAAAATTTGTAGGGAATATAAGTATATTTTGATTTTTAAAAATCATATTAGAAGGATAAAATGAAGTAGCTGTTATATAAATGTTTGAATTATATTTGTTTGATCTGTATTGACAGCAGTTGAATAACTATTGAAGAGGTGAGCTGAACATAACACTTTCATAGTTGGGACAGCAGTAAGTCTAGGAATTGACAACGTTAAAATCCGAGGTTCGATTCCCCGCGATGGACGCAGGAGATAGCCCAATGTGGCTTTGCTCTAAGACAATCAAACAAACAAATTTCCTCTAAACAAAAGTTAATATTAATACAAGATAACATAAGCATATAAAATAATATATTAGAAGTATTTTAACAAAACATCTAAGACATATTACTAAGAGTATAATCTAAACCAGTGGTTTCCAAACTCTTTCAGTCTGAGGCTCCCTTGATGTGAATAAAAACGTTTGCCCCCCCCCCCAACCTATAAAAATGCCTTAAAATGTTCCTCACCCACTACATTAGCATGGTGATTGAAAAACAGTGTCGTAGTAAAAATAATGACATCACTTTTCAAAATACTATATCATGTAATTAATTCAACATAATTTTTATCGGCATATTGTCTATTTAGAATTCAAATGAATTCAGCATCTTTGTTTTCGGCCCATTTTTTGGCAGCCCCGAAGAAAAAGCTTCACGGCCCCCAGAGGGGCCGCGGCTCCCACCTTGGAAAACACTGATCTAATCTGAAACAATTATATTCAACCAGATCCCTGCAAGTTAACAAGAATAAAATTAAGAGGGCTTTGGTTTATTGTGGTCCGTACAATATTAAAACTTTTTGTACTGTTTGAGTAAACATTATTAGCTGTGATTCTTAAAAGACAAAAACTTTGTCACATAATGCGTACAATATTAAAACTTCGTACGCTACTGTATATAAGAGTCTTTACTAAAGAGTCTTGTTCCATAACTTAAATAAGATAAGATAACTTTGACGACAGCGCGTGTTTCGCTCGTGCAATAAGAGAGTGAGGTAAGAGGGAATAACTACTGGTCACTCTGTAATAGTTGTTTGACCGTCGGAACGACATTGCAAAATTAACCCCCCAAAACACTAGTTTTTTCAACATGTATTTACATACCTTTAGATGTCGGGGCCTGAACAGCGGTCAAGTCCATCCCAAGGGTAGGGTGATGTTGACCGGGGAGTGATCCGCCCACCGGCAGCTGTGGATTTATAGCTGTGTGTAATGATGATATTTTATAAACATATATGTATATAATTAAATAAAATACCCACCAGTGTGGCTTAAAATGAAACATTGGTTCGGTCTTCCTACACGCTCAAATTCTCGAACTTCACGATTTCTCGTTCCGAACTTTTTTTTTTGCAAGAACGACAGTGTTAGTAAGATATATTCAGAAATTTTACATTGTTTTAGCCTAGTTTTTCCTTCTAGTGTACAGTGGGCGCTCATCGAATGTTCTGTTCTTAGAGATCTAATTTAACCCTCTAAAATTGGGTAAGATCAAAGTGCGCGTGTCAAGACGTATTACAAAGTTACATTGAAATTTAAAGAGGAATATAGTATTTTAGTAATTTAACCCAAAACATGTCTATAGAGGGCGTTAAACTCTGTATTTACGACTAGTCACGATGCAGATAATTGGAGATAACCCAAAACATGTCTATAGAGGGCGTTAAACTCTGTATTTACGACTAGTCACGATGCAGATAATTGGAGATAACCCAAAACATATCTATAGAGGGCGTTAAACTCTGTATTTACGACTAGTCACGATGCAGATAATTGGAGATAACCCAAAACATGCCTATAGAGGGCGTTAAACTCTGTATTTACGACTAGTAGTCACGATGCAGATAATTGGAGAGCACAACACAAAAATACTTACATAACATTTCAAATGGATAAACATGGTGTTAAAACTAATACATCCATCACGCAGGGTTGAAATGTACACCTAGAATACCTCATTGGTGTAAAACGTGTTTACGTAGCAGGTTTTCAATCAACTACAGCGTAGCAGAATGCTAGGTTTCTAATTTCCCGAAATAAAAATCGTACAAGAACTTGTTTACATTTATTGTCCCGTTAAAAGTTCTTACCTTTATTCTCCTTTTAAAAGCTCTTACATTTATTCTCCTTTTAAAAGCTCTTACATTTATTCTCCTTTTAAAAACTCTTACCTTTATTCTCCTTTTAAAAGCTCTTACATTTATTGTCCCGTTAAAAAGTCTTACCTTTACTGTCCTTACCTTTATTCTCCTTTTAAAAGCACTTACTTTTATTGTCCCGTTAAAAGCTCTTACATTTATTGTCCCGTTAAAAAGTCTTACCTTTACTGTCCTTACCTTTATTCTCCTTTTAAAAGCACTTACTTTTATTGTCCCGTTAAAAGCTCTTACATTTATTGTCCCGTTAAAAGTTCTTACTTTATTCTCCTTTTAAAAGTTCTTATCTTTATTCTCCTTTTAAAAGTTCTTATCTTTATTCTCCTTTTAAAAACTCTTACTTTTATTGTCCCGTTAAAAGCTCTTACATTTATTGTCCCGTTAAAAACTCTTACCTTTACTGTCCTTTTAAAAGTTCTTACCTTTATTCTCCTTTTAAAAGCTCTTACATTTATTGTCCCGTTAAAAACTCTTACCTTTACTGTCCTTTTAAAAGTTCTTATCTTTATTCTCCTTTTAAAAGCACTTACTTTTATTGTCCCGTTAAAAGCTCTTACATTTATTGTCCCGTTAAAAACTCTTACCTTTACTGTCCTTTTAAAAGTTCTTAATCTTTATTCTCCTTTTAAAAGCACTTACTTTTATTGTCCCGTTAAAAGCTCTTACATTTATTGTCCCTTTAAAAAGTCTTACCTTTACTGTCCTTACCTTTATTCTCCTTTTAAAAGCACTTACTTTTATTCTCCTTTTAAAAACTCTTACATTTATTGTCCCGTTAAAAGTGCTTACTTTTATTGTCCCGTTAAAAGTGCTTACCTTTACTATCCCATTAAAAAATAGGCTCAAAATGTATGATATTTCAACGGAGTTAGTTAGTTCGGTTATTTAAAACATTTATAATTCCTGTACATTTTAGTAAAACCAAACAACTTGAAAACTTCGTTAGAATTTTTCTGTAACGTGTCATTTACCAATGAATACGAGAGACTCAAATACTCCTATAGATACACATTTGTCGGTAACACTTTTAAAAATATTGGAAAGTTATTAAAGCTTTTAATCTTACATTGAATGATCATTTTTAAAATCGTATACTTATAAAAAAAAATATACAGAGATTTTGTTCTGAGATTGAATATAATTGTAGCCACTCCACATAAACAGGTGGATATAGCAGTATAAAGGGCAGATTGCCAACAAACTAACCTCCTGCTTGAAATGCCGAGTGGGACATCAAATGCTGTGGTATAGGAAACTGACCTCTGTACGCAGAGAAAGTGGTTCCTGAAAATGGTGGAGGTGGTGCCCCAGCAGGGAAACCTAGAGAACGAGAGGGAATATTTGTATCGTGAACTAAACTAAACAAAAAGTAATAGAATAAAGGTTCCTTTTAAAGCGAAATAGAAAATGAGTAACAGACATACAATGGCCAGTTTTTACCTGTCTTATTTAAACTAAACAATGGATTACTCACTCTAAATGTTTACCTGACATACATTTTAGTTAGTGTTAACAGTTCAAAAGTAAAGCGTGAATGATCACAGAGGCAATAAAATAATTACCCGGGCTCTTATATTGTTTGAAACTAGCAAATAGTATCATTCGTTCGGTAAAAGTCAAAAAATATTTTAGAAGCTTTAACGGAGCGTGCGGTGCTGCCACCTTCAATTCATGAATCGACAATAAGTTGTTAACCCTCGTTAATAATGATTACCCGTATAACGCTACACGCCGTCGCCGTTTTAATTAACCTAAAGTTGTGTTAATTGTTTCGAAACGATTGTACTTGTACCGCGGTTTTATACCCTGGTTGAAACTGGAGTGCGATTGTCAACAGTTCCCATGTTTATTCACGAAAATTGTGTTTTGTTGTATACGGCGCTGAAGAATGCTTAGACTGAAGTGTACAATTAGAAGGTTCAGAACCTTATAGTAAAACAATTTTGAATATGCAAATGAGAAAATCGCGTGGCAACCACAGCTGATATAAAGTTGCCGTGGAACGGAACGTATCACAACTACATTTTGACATTGTCTGACTTGTCTGTAGGCGTAGCGACGGGATTAAGGGGACGAATGGGGTTTCCGCCCCGAGAAGCACTTTTTGGAGGCGACAAATTTGTTGCCAACAGCAGTTACTTAACGCTTTTGATGCTATAATCGCGTAAATGCGATTGTTCAATTGGTACTAGTAGGTGCAAAAGTCACAGTTCTGCCACGAACGCCAAAAGATTTTTTTCCTTCTGGTATCACAACTTCCATGGACTAAACCGCTAAAAGATGGCCCGCCATCCTCTCAGTTGAGCGTGAATTAGCCGAGACGACTGTCTTCGAAGCTGTGATGTACGAGTTTTCTAGGAAGATGTGAACCACATCGTCACAACAACAACTGCTCGCTTGATAGACCAATGACCATTTAAAAAGGCGGAAAACAAAAGTGTAACTGTTTAATTGTAAAAAGTCTGTACTTAATTCGATTTGTAATAAAGTCATTTTATTAGGCTTTGCGTCTAATTCAGCATGTAAGTTCTGAGGGGGGCGGCACCCCGAGCCACATTTTTCCTCGCCACGCCACTGTCCGTAGGTATTGTTATGCCATCGAAAAATTATCGCTTTTGAGAAAGATGTGTGACAGCTTTTTCCGACACAAAATATTCAAACACTCAGTTCAGAAAGATGTATTCAAATTAGGGATTTATAATTTCCAGGATATGTATTTCCATTGTATTTAGCTTCCCAGTGGCACAGCGGTATGTCTGCGGACTTACAATGTTAGAAACCGGTTTTCGATACCCGTGGTGGGCAGAACACAGACAGACTATTATGTAGCTTTATGATAAACTTTAATAAAAAAACAAAAAACATTGTACTTAATGGCATTGAAAAAAATATTGATATGGATCAATTTGGGGTTCCAGGACCACCCAGAAAGAGGCCAACAAGAAGTCGTATCCCAACTACAACAAGCAAAGTGTGGTTTCTTGATCATGTGAGAATCCATGAACGTAAAGGTTAGTGACGAAAGCTGTCCACTTGACTCAGTCAACTGTACGCAACATCATCAAGAAGAACCTCTCTCTGGAAAACGAGGCCAACGGGGTATGGATTCATCAAGATAAGGCTTTCACTCATACCTCCCGTTGAACTATCGCATATCTCAAGCAGCTGAATAATGAAATTGTTATTTATACTATTTCATATGATGACATACTAGTCAACTCATATGGAACACTTAACATTACAATTTCTACTGTAGTGACGTCAGTGAAACTGTGCATGCCATGAATCACGAGAAGAATTATGCACTCTGTAGGCTGCAACACAACATGACATACGAACTTCAAAAGCAAGAAATAAAAATATTTGTTACTCTTAATTTGTGTTTTTATTTACTCTTGAAAGGGAATACTTTCGAGGACTGGAGGAAGTACATGTACTGTATACCACATTGCCAATTATTTCGGGATAAAAACATACGTGTTCATGTATAAAGATGTCTCATATTTGAAATACAGTGCCTCAAATTATAATTATTTTGCTGGAACAATATTTTTATTGTTAACTTGGCTAAGTAAAAACTTAAGCAAAATGCCCAAAGCAACTGATATTTAAAAAAATTAAACTTATAGGAGGATTTATTTATATTTAGTAGTACAAAAGCTTTTTAAAGGCATAAGGTTTCCAACTTAAACAGTTTCAAGCTACAGAAGATGCTTTTTATATTTTCATGCTGATTTCAGAGAAATATTTCACTTAAAGAACTGTTTCAAATATACACAAAAGATTAAGCGAAAATATAACTGCTATTTACAATTTGTTAAAAGCTCACAGAAGTTAGTGAAATTAATTTTGAATTAATTGGAGTACAATATCTTCATACCACTGTTTGGCTTTTCTAGGAATAATTTTGTATTTAATAAACTATTTAGGTACACCATAAATATATAAAACATCTTGAAAAACCTTGAATTGGGGCTCTAGAAACCTATTTGTTCCCTTATGGGATAGCGGTAAGTCTAAGAACTTACAACACTATAATCCGGGGTTCGATTCCCTGCGATGGACACAGCATATAGTCCAAAGTTTCTTTGCTATAGAACGAACAACTGACAAGAAACCTGTCTGGTGTGTTGTATTAATTTGGGTTCACACAGCCTTAAAAACCTTGAGAATCTTTGAATTTCAGTTCTTCAAACCTTATTCATGACTGTGTGTTGTATTTAAGCTGGGTTCAGACAATCTTAAAAAAGTTGAAAATTTTTAAATTTAAGCTCTACATATCTAACTCTTGAGCTGTATTATGATAAGCTGGGCTCACACATGAGTCTTTAGGTTCCGAATGTCCTAAACTCAATGCAGTGCACGCTTAAGCCTTCTCAGAAGTCTCCCTCTCCCACCTTCCACTTCACTTATTGCACCTGCAATCTAGATTTCTTAGTTACATTCCTGATGGGAAAACCACATAACTACTGGTTGTGTTGTGGTAGTGGAAGACATATTTCAGAGGTAAGTACCTATTTGAAATTTATTTAATTCTAAAAATGTAAAATTCTAATCAGCTACACTTTCCAAAATACCCACATTTAGATGGAGGAAGGAACTACTGGTTCACAAAAGTTGAGCTGTTAGGCGGGTAGATAACCTAGACCACGACTAATGGACGATGAGATCAAGCAGAAATGCATGTGGAAGTGGAAAGGTACCCATCAAGGAATTATCAGCCATCAGGTGGCATTCTCTGTCAATTTCTAGTAGGTACCAGTGCATAGGGTAGAATTTTGTCTTCAACAATTGTTGCCATATATGTAATATAGAAGAGTATCGACTGGATAAATCTATTCAAACACAGTCTCGTATTATAAAGGAAGGTCTATGATTTGCTTCAATTGAATAACTCGTCAACTTCAGATGCCCCCTGTGATTATTACAAGGAGTGGCAGTATCATTATACCTGGGTTACCATGTGCAACATAGGTGTGGATCCAAGTGATAACTAAGCAAGTAATAGAGAGTTCACCTGCTAGGGATTCCATCGGGCTTCAAGGATCACAACTGGGGTAGATGGAATCCCAAAGATGAAGGGACAGTAATATAATGTAAATACAATTTTGAGAATATATTTGGATTTGTCTACATGTCAAACTTCAAAATATCCTCTACTCTAGAGAGTAATACGATTGTGTCAGAAACTTACTATTTTTTAGTAGTATATATAGTAATGTAAATATATGGGTGTATTGGGCTAAGGATTCTTCTACAGTAGGTGTCTGTGACTTGTTGGCAATAAATTCGACAATAAACGAACAGCATGCACTCCACTCGTTTTTAAAATAACATATATGTTCAAAACAAGTTAAACATATGTACAAACTTCTTTACACTGTGGAGATCATAGTTGTACCTTAAATACTATACAGTTCTCTTCTTTTCAAAGTCCACTTAAGCCATTTCAATTGCTTTAGAATTCACTTGATAAGCCGAACTATTTTTATCGTAATGGTATCCATGTATAGTTCACTTACGCTATCACGGAAGTTACTGCAGTTGTATCTTAAACTTCTAATAATCATTTAAATTTCTTACTTCCAATAATCGTCTGCCTTTTGTCAAAGTCCGCACAGGTGGGTTCAACTAATTTAGAACACCCTTTAACAGGACAAATTCTTCTTCTTATCTCTTTCAAACTGTTAATCTCACTGTAACATATCCACCGTTAGATCATCACTCCCACGATGGTTAATTTTACGTTTTCTAACTTTTCTTTGATCGAACTTTTCTTTCACGTAACTTTACTTTTACTCTCTGTTTCCGCTCGTCTTGTCGCAGTTATTTGTACATCTATCACTTAGGCCTTCTAGAAATCTCCATAGCCTCGAGATCAATGGAATGTAAACACAACGTTCTATAGCCTCGATATCAATGAATTACAAACACAAAATAAATTAATTAATAATACTACCTACACTAACCAATCTTTTATATCTGACATATTGAAATGCCAGAGTCATCACCAAATGGCAAAATTTACTTTTAAAGTGTTTGTGAACATTACAATAAACAAGATGGATTAACTGCACAAACCAATTTGTTAATGTAACTGGAGCAAGATCCAAGAAACATAATTTTTCTGAGACCCATGAAAAATTCGGTACATGCAAGATAACGAAAAATATCCCTGACAGGATAAAAAAGGCATTCTTCTAAATGATAATCAGGATAAGTCAGAGAAGGTGACATAATAGGTTGAAAACAACAGTTACCTTCTCTTGCATCCCCAGTTTTAGATATGAAGGCTTGATCTGGGTAATAATGAAAGACCA